CTTGAACTCACAGAGTGCTGGGATTAAAGGCGTGCATCACCATGGCCAGCTTACTTAAAAATTTTTAAGAGGGAGCTGAGCATGGTGGCACATACTTGCAATCCCACCCAGCACTGGAGAGGCTGAGGCCTAGGAGCATCTGAGTTCCAGGTCACCTGGGCTACAGATGAGATGCTATCTCAAATCACCACTACCTCAAAAGTACAGAGGATAACAGATAAGCAATCTTAAAAAGGATCAGGATTTCAGGATCTGGGGAAAGGGAAGCAGATATTATATTGGGTTTACTAAGATGGTTACAAAAATACCTAAAGCACTCCAAGAAACAAGACAAGATAGATGACGAAGATAGGCTTTCAAGCAGAAACTCTAGGAACAGAAGAAATTCTAGGAGCTAAAAATGAAGACCAGAGAGAAGTGCCCTTTGCCCTGGTCACACGTGGAATCCAGAAATAAATGAAGATATGTATTGGCACTGCTATGACTTCAATTACTATCCAGCAGTGACTATGGTAAGAGATGCTAGCTCCTGCACAACTATTTTGTTAGATGCCATTTTCCTGTTTTTAAGGATGGGAAAAATCAAATTTTAATAATGTTAAATAACTTGTCAAGTTTATAATAAGAACAGATCCAGGATTCAGTCCTATCCTAACATCCCAACTTCTTGCCCCACAATCCCCATCAGTACCTTAAAATTAACTATAGCCTATTCCTCTGGGCAAAGTTTAAACATCACTTCCTAAAAAGTACCCCCACACTCTGCAAGTAAGATAAGTTGCCTCCAGTGATGCTCCTACAGCATTCTGCCCTGTCATTCCAAGTATAAATTGTATTTGTAATACTTTTTTGACATTGACCTTCTCTCCATAAGATTACAAATTTGTTGATGTTACCAGTCAGATTTATCAAAATATATCCAGAAGTCTAGTATACATACAATTAACGAAAAGATAAACTAATAGCATTTGAGTCCTTAGTCACCTATACTAAAATATAGCATGTTACTTTTATCTTAGAGGGCAACAGAACTGAATAAATGATGGAGCATCACTACTTAACTTTGAGAAAGTTAATCTCTGTTAACTTTAACCATAAAATACATACCCTGCTATACAAACTATCTTCATTATATTACTTTTAGTAATAATTATCTTTCCACTACATCAATGTTCTTAATACATTTTCATTTATTTTTTTTGAGACAAGGTCTCCCTGTAGCCACAGCTGACCTGAAATTTGCTATGTAGACTAGGCTGGCCTACATCTCACAAAGATCAATCAGCCTGCTTCTGCCTCTGAAGTGCTGATACTAAAGGTATGTGCCACTATGCCCATCACATCCATGTTTTTTGTTTGTTTGGTCTTTTTGAGACACAGACACCCAGTAATCCCAGTCTGCCTCTGCCTCCAAAGTGCTACGATTAAAGGCATGCCCCACTATGCCCTGCTTACATCAATGTTTTAAAAACTGGCTGGCTTCTAATTTTTTTAAGTAAAAAAACAAAAAATATAAAAAGTCCAACTTAGCCAGGCATAGTGGCTCAAGGCCGCAATCTAAATCTTTGGGAAGCAGAGGTAAGAAGATCAAGAGTTGGTGACCAAGCCAAGCATAGGAGCCCAATCCCAGCAGAGGCAGGTGGATCTCTTTAAGTTTCAGGCCAGTGTGGTCTACATAGACATAGAAAGACTGTCTCAAAAGGAACAAGCAAACAGGTGAAGGAAGGACTGGGCCATACAGGAAAGCCCCAACTCAAAAACAGAATCATCTGTAATCCAAGTACCAGGGAGGCTAGTCTGGGTTATGTAAATTCCAGGCAGCTTGAGCTACACAGAAATCCCTATCTCAGGGCTGGAGAAATGGTTCCACAATAAAGAGCATTTACTCCCTTGCACAGGACCAATGTTTGGTTCCCAGCACCTATGCTGGGTGGCTCACAGCTGCCTGTAACTTCAGCTCTAGGAGATCCAATGCCTCTATATAGGCTCACATGTACATGCACCCCAGAGAGACACGCATGCACACATACACATAATTAAAAATAAATCTTTTTTTTTAAAGGAAGGCCCCGCTCACAAAGTAAGCAGAAATTAAAAAAAAAAAAAAAAAAAGATATACACACATTAAAGGCTCAGCACTGAAATACACATACAGCCAAATTAATGTCACATATACATCTTCCACTTTTGATGCAATTAAAAAAAAATTGCAAAAGCTGGGCATGGTGGCAGATGCCTTTAAGCACTCTGGAGGCAGATGTAGGCAGATCTCTGGTCTACATGGTGAGTTCCAGGCCAGCTAGGGCTACAGGGAGAACTTGCCCTTTTTTTTTTTTTAAAAAAAAAAAAGGTGGGGGGAGGCTGAAGAGGACTCAAAGGTTAAGGACACTTGCTGTTCTTCCAGATGACCAGGGTTTGATTCCCAGCACTTACATGGCAGCTGACAACTGTCAGTAACTCCCAGTTCCAGGATATTGAACATTCTCTTCTCTGCAGGCAGTACATGCATACATACACTTACATACATGCAGGTAAAACACTCATGTAAAAAATAAAAAACACTGCTGTGCTGATACAGGTAAACTAATCTTGCTATCTTACTAGATTACAAATTCAGGGAGAAAGGAACTTTCTTCTGCTCACTCTTGTGCCCCTAGAAACTGAAAGTGTCTGTGAATACCTTTGATCAAATGACACACCCAGTCCTTAACTTTCCAAACATATTAGTTCTACAATGTTCCTCCTTATCACCATGTCAGGAGCTCATTACATTCTTCCAGTCTGGGCCTTAGCATATGCTATTACTTAAACTCCTCCTTTCTTCAACTCATTGAACTAATGGTTACCTTCTTATGATACTACATATCTTTATAACTCATGATAAATAATCCCAACACTCAAGAGGCAGAGGCAGGCAGATCTTTGTGAGAATAGAGGACAGCCTGGTATACATAACAAGTTCCAGGCCAGCTAGGGCTACAAGGAGACCTTGTCTCAAAAAAGACCAAAAAAAAAAAAAAAATCACGAGAGACATAAATGACTTGACTATACGAGGAAACAGCTCACAAACTGAGTACTCATTACATAGAAACACAGTTCTTCTATACACTAAACACACATTTGGGGTATTTGAAACATTTGCCTAATGACGAGTAGGCCATTTAAAAATTTCCCAGCACCAAAGTAAGGTGGCTCACAACCACCTATAACTCCAGCAGATCCAACACCCTTCTCTGGTCTCCTCAGGCACCCCCCGCCCCACACACACATAATTAAATAATAAATCTTAAAACAACAACAACAACAAAAAAACCTCAAGTCATTAGCTAAGTTAGCTAGCTAGCTTCACAATCCACAAGCTACTTGATGTCTCAGCCACAGATAAGTTCTTCTGAAGACTTAAATATAAGTTAACATACCTGTGAACAAGCCATTATAACTTATTTTGGCAACTGGTTTTTAGAAACTAAGATGTTCACAGACTGACCTTGATTCCACATTTTAAATATTTATGTCCTAGAAACAACTTTTTTCATATATTTACATAAATGTGTGCGCCATCTTCAGACCTTTAAAAAAAAAAAAAAAGACACCACTGGGGCTGGAGAGATGGCTCAAAGGTTAAGAGCACTGGCTGTTCTTGCAGAGGACCTGGGTTCAAATCCCAGCACCTACATGGAGGCTAACAACTGTCTGGAACTCCAGTTCCAGGGGATCCGACCTGTCCTCACCCCCTTGTGGCTCCACGAGCACTGCACAACACAGGTGCACTTACGTACATGCCAGCATTACACTCACATATAAAATAAAAAGTAAAAGAAAAAAAAACAACTAAAGTCAGGGCTGGAGAGATGGCTCAAACGTTAAGAGCACTGGCTTCTCTTGCAGAGGACCTAGGTTTGATTCCCAGCACCGACATGGTCGCTAACAGCCACCCCTCCCCCCCATAACTCCAGTTCCAGGGGAATTCGATGCCCTCTTCTCACGTCCACAGGCATTGCACCACACAGGTGCACTTACATGCATGTAGGCAATATACACATAAAATAAAAATATTTCTTAAAAAACTAAAATCATATGTTTTACACAGAGTTGTTTATACTACAGACAACTCTAGAGTAAGCTTATAAACTAGGGGGAAATCTAACAGTTACTGCTTGTTTTTCTCAATAGACTTAAGACTGCCACGGTCCCGACCACTTCAGTTCCAACATTAGCTTATTTCCTCGTATGAAACGTGCAGTAAGCGTCACTCTTTCTACCAGCAGAGAAGTTTATGGTATTCCTGAGTCCATTAGATCAGGTGTCTAGTTAGTGCTCAGGCAGAAGGCCATATGAACACCAACTAAAAAGGAACATCATCGTGTGGTACTGCAGCATCATTACTGGTATCTTAAAGCAATACCTTCAGCCCATGCAGTATTTAAGGACCAATGCTGGTCCTTGTTTACAAAAGGCAAAACCACATTTCAAAAGACTGTTTCGAAAAACCCGATTACGGAGTTCTGCGCCCATTTTTTCCTGATTCTATCCTATCTTGCCAAAATCTTTGGCTGATTTTCGTGGAACCAGAAAGTGCTGCTTCGGTCGTCAGAACGCAGAGTATGTACTACTGATGCTTTCCTAACATAATCTGTATTAAATCTGGACTCTTCCGTTGCCGCTCAAGAGCCGCTTCCACCTCCGTGGTCACAGTCCCACCCGGCTTCAGACTCACCGCTAAATCGGATCGCAAACCCAGGCCAAGGTTCACCCCTTCGGCCTGGACTGACTACCTGGAGAAACGCTAGGCCTAAGCCACGAGCCCCGCGCCCGGCCCGGCCCAACAGGTGGGAATGGAAGCCACGCAGCGCGCCGCGCACGCCAGGCCCCGAGAGGCGGGCTAGTGAGCCGCCAGCCGGGCGGACAAGGCTGCGGCCTGGTGTGGCCTGAGGCTGCGCAGGCCCTTCCCGCCCTGGCGCCTCCCCTGCGCCCGCGCCAGGGCGTCCAGCCCAGCTACCTCGCGAGGGATGGCGCTCGATGCCATGAGCCGAATCCTGACCAAGGTTGCCAAAGATGGGCCTCCCAGCGCCTCAGACCGCAAAACCCGCAGTGCCACCGCCACGAGCTACACCACCGCCTGCCTCCCGGAGGACTCTTCGCGCATGCGCCTGCGGTCAGCGAGGCGGGTTGGTCACGTGACGTGGCGTGCAGTTCCCCGCCCCC